TTTTTTTTTTTTTTTTTTGCTTGTGGGTATACAGTTTTCCAGCACCATTTGTTGAAAAGACAATCTTTACTCCACTGTACTGCCTTTGTTTCTTTGTCAAAGATCAGTTGACTATACTTATATATTTATGTGGGTTTACTTATAGGAATTCTATTCTTTTCAGTTGATCTATCTGTTTAGTCAGTTGCCAATGCCACATTGTCTTGATTACTGTAGCTTTATAGTAAATCTGTAAGTTGGGTAGTGTTGGTCCACCAATTTTGTTCTTCAATTTTTTGTGTGTTCGCTATGTTTGGTCTTTTGTCTCTCCATGTAAACTTCAGAATCAGTTTTTCAATATCCATGAAATAACTTGCTGGGATTTTGATGGGAACTGCAATGAATCTATAGACCAAGTTGGGGAGAACTGATATTTACTGTGAGGAGCTGGTAAAGCTCATGGAAGTAAAATTCACAAAAGTGTCCCCCCTCCCCATGACTGAGTTGCTCTGGAGATTTTCCTTATATTTTTCCACACTAAGCCTCCAGCAATCCATCAATTGCAGTTTGTTTTGGGTTTCCTTATGCCAGCACTGGTTCCTGCAGAGGTTGCGTCTTCTGGGCTTCTGTAAGTTGTGATTCTCTGTATTTGCCTGTCAGTTTCTTCAATTTGGGGGCAGTGGTTTGCCCTCTGACCTCATGTCTCTTATGGAGCTAAGAAGAATTCATTGATTTTTCAGTTTGTTCAGCTTTTTTTCTTGTTGTTAGAATGGAGTGGCAACTTCCAAGCTTTTTTCATGTTGAACTGGAAACTGGGAAGTCCCAGAATATTTTAAAAATAAAAATAGGTAAAGCACTGCATATTAGTCTCTGTGAGATACTCTGTGGTTTGTAGTCTAAGAAGTCTGAAGAGCCCTTGCTCTAGGCCAGTGAGGCTCAAAGTGTGGTCCCAGGACCAGGAGCATCAATATGCCTGGGACTTGTTAGAAATGCAGATTCTCGGGTCCCATCTCGCACTACCGAAGCAGAATCTCTGGAGGTAGGGCCAGGAATCTGTATTTTTAAAAAGTCACCTGGAAAGCGATTCTGCTAGTTTGAGAACCACTGATCTAGACTAAACTGAGTGGCCCCGGTGGTGCCCAAGGCATCCCTCACCCACACCTGCGGCACCCAAGGTGGGTCCTTTGTCTTTTTCTTCATTGTCAGAGGCAGTGCTGATAGCCCATCGACAGGGAGGTGGAATCTACCTTGGCAGTGTTTGGAGGATGGT